GGGCACTCCCAGCGGAGGTTCTCTCGGGGGCTCTACCGTTCCGTCTACAGCTGAAATGGATGATCGCAGGGCAAAGTGGCCAAGAAATGACGGCAAGGGTGATGGCAAGCCAGCAGGCAGCGGCGGACACGGCGCCAAGCAAAACTCAAGACAGGACTGGCGTGGGCGTAGTCAGGGCGGCGGATACAGGCGCAAAGCTGACGACTCATGGGGAGCTGGTTGGCAGGATGAAACGCCCTCCTCCAGAGAACTGGAGCGCCTGAGATCAATGGTGCTGAGCATGCAGAAGCTTCTTCTCAGGCATGAGGATGCCATTAACATTTGGCGCGCGGCATGCAGCTACGTGCTTTTTGTACGGTCAGGGATCCCTGCCTCAGTTATCCCGGGCATGGTCGCAGCGAAAACAGCCTGGAACCGGATCAAGGCTGAGTCTCCGGATAAACTCAAGGGCCCCATGAGATGTGCATTGTTCTCTTGCCTCATCAAGGAGATGCTTGCCAGGGTGGGCGGTTTTGACCAAGTTGAGGGCAGGAAGCAGACCATGCAGAAGCTTGGTTGGATGGAGGGTGAGGAATTCCTCACCGCCAAGTGGGACCCCGTGCACAAGAAGTTGATTGGATGTCCTGATGGACCGCGTCTTACCAAGGCGAGGGCGCTCGAGATCATTGCACAGCTGGGGGAGAAGTGCCAGTCGGACACGGCATTGGTTCGGTTTCATCCCACAAGGCCCATTGGGGAGAACATGGCCGAGGGGACCGTCTGCTTCCTCCTCCAGCTTAACCTCCTCGAGGCGGATGGACGTGCCATGTATGACAACGTGGCGGCGCTATGCAGCGCCGGAGCTACCCAGCTCCTTGGATTGGAGATACGGAAGGAGCGCATGGGCCGGAGCACGCTTGCTCAGCAGCTAGGCAGTGCTTAAAGCAGTGGACTGAATGAGCCGACAGGGCGGTGCCACTGCGACGACGGTTGACTTGCAGCCATTCGTATGTCCATAAGGCCGTCCCAAATTTTGTCTCAGATGAAGGGCCAGATGCAACCCTTGAACAACCCGTTTTGCACGTGTCGCAAACTTCGGCAACACCGTTCCGGTATGCGCACTTCACTCTCTATGACGGATTGCGGGTTGGTGAAAATTCTCATGGAACGAGTATGCTTGCGCATGTGTTCTCAAACCAGATGGCCTACCACCACAAGTGTTTCGCTGAGGTGCACTTTTCTCAATGCCGGGACCTTACTTTCCAAGACTTCATGTTTCAATCGGCAACATGTGCTCTCGCATCGAATTGGTGCTCACTGCCTGGATGCTCGAGCCGATGATTTCACAAGGAGGAAGAGAGCACAAGTCCAGTCGGATCCCGAAGCGTTGGCGTCCATGGCAGCGCAAATCCAAGGACAGTCGGATGTGGAAGCATCCCATTGCCCCAGTCAGGGACGTAAGAGACCCCGGGAGCTCATTGAGCCATCACTTTATGGCCCTGGCGCGGATCTTCTGGAGCTCTACCTCCGGAGCAAGATTTACCTTGTACGCGTGGATATGGCTACCGTTCCAGAGCCGGATCCTGAGGCTACTCATGAGGTCATCGCGCGCATGTGTCTTGAGAAGGGATATGTGATGTGGAGTCAGCTGCAGCGACTTAGCGCACTCTTATCGGTGGGAAATGGCCACGTTGGAGTCAACAGGATGTCCGCTTAGGCGTGACCCAGGCTAGCTCATTCCTGACCGGAGCGTGGTCGCGTGGTCCATTGCGCGGACTCACCAGAAACATCCGGGAGTGCCCAGATACCACAGCCCTGCTAGCCGGAGTCATCAGGGCATTGGATTTGAACTTCCGGTTCAGTGCAGTGACCTTTGCCATGAACGTGCTCGCCAAACCACACAAGGACTATCAGAACGACCGAGACCATGAAAACATTCTTGTTCCATGCAGTGTTTGGCAGGGAGGGGAACTATGGCTTCAAGATCCTATGGGAGACATCGCATTGGTCCCTAACGGGCCCACAGGACGCCTGCTCGAGATTACATGCCCAGTGCGTCTTCAGCCTACCATTGAGCATGCCACCATGCCGTGGAAAGGCGACCGCCTAGTGCTCATAGGTTATCAAACACAGCACACAGAGCAGCTTGCAGAAGATGAGATGCAAATGCTGGTGGATTACGGGTTTAATCCAAGGTGACTTCGGGAGCTGGGGCAACAGAGAGAGGAAAAGTATATGGCTGTTGTCAGTGTTATTTCGTATCCAGACTGTTGCATGGTCGCCCAAACATACCGAGGCTACACTCGGCCATCACAGATGGGAGCTCAGCAATGCACTGTGCGCTCCAACTGGGCCATCCATGAAAGTCCTGATTGCTTGCAATGTCACTTTCCAGGTGAGCTGAGCTGCAAGTGAGCACAGATGATGTAAACAACATCGTGATTGCATAGTTTCAGTGCATGTAAACCAGGCCAAAGGTAGCTCCGCTACCATGTTCAATGGCCAATGTACAGGCAGCACTGGGAGTCCGAAAGCATGCCGTCGCAATTGGGAGCTGTCGGCTCGGGCGGCTTTTTGCTATCTTCATTCACATGATTTTATTGACATGTTCATGAACACGCTGGGACCTTAGGATCGGTGTTCCTTCCTTTATGTAAGATCGCTTAAAGTGTATCTTTTCAGTCGGGCTTAGCGCTTCCATAGAGAAGCCGGTGCAAATTTTGCATCGCCGGGCCTTACGCTAGGATGCTGCTGAGCATTGGCGAATCGCAAAGCAAAGCAAAGCAAAGCAAAAAGTCGTAGTAGTAGTAGTAGTAGTCATCGTCGTCGTAGTAGTAGTAGTAGTAGTAATAGTTAGTAGGAGTAGTAGTAGTAGTAGCAGTAGTAGTAGTAGTCGTAGTAGTAGTAGTAGTAGTAGTAGTGTAGTGGTCGTGGTCGTGGTGGTCGTGCTAGTAGGAGTCGTAGTCATACTCGCAGCGGAGGAGGGTGTTGGGGCGGGGGGGTTGTTTTTTGGGGGTTCGGGGGTTTGCACCCACGATCTTCTTTTCAGGGTTTAGGGTTTGCCTCTGTGAACATTTTTTGGGGGGTCTTAAGTTTGCTTTCCAAGCAACGTCTCCTTTTTTTAGGCCTAAGAGTTGGCCACCCGCGTTTTTGGAAAAGGGGTTGAGGCGTTCCACCTGCGAGCTTCTTTTGGTGTTTTGGTGTTTTGCAACCAATGTCGTTTTTGAGGGTTTGGCAATTGCCACTCGCGATTTGTTTTTAGGGTTTCGGGTTTGCCACCTGCGAGCTTCTTTCGCGGTTTAGTGTTTTCAACCAATATCATTTACGAGGCTCACGGGCCACCCGCGAGCTTCTTTTAGGGTTTTTTGTGGCTTACGGTTGGTCAACCAGTATGTTGTTTGTTTTGGGGTTTGGGAGTTGCCACCCACGATTCGGAGTTTGCCAACATCCTCTTATTGAGACATTGGTTTGCTTCTTTGGTTTTCGGCCTGGGAGTTGCTTTTCGGGTTGCGGCTTGCCGCCCGCGAGCTCCCTTCGGGGTTTTGGAGTTTTCAACCAGCGTCTCTTTTTTGAGGTTTAGGGTTCGCCAACTGATGTGATGTTAGTTCAGACATCAGGAGTTGCCACCCACGATCTGTTAGGGCTGCGTGCGTTCCACCCGCGAGCTTCTTTTACGTGTTGGGCGTTGTCCACGCAACATTTCCTGAGGCCTAGGGTTTGCCAATCAATATGTTGTTTTAGGGTTTGGGGTATGCCATCCGCGATCTTCTTTTCAGGGTTTGGGGTTTGCCACCTGCGACCTTCATTTGGGGTTTAGGCTTTTCCAAGCATTTTTTTGTTTGAGGCTTAGGCGTTGCCAACCAACGTGTGAGGAGTCATACGGTTTGGGAAGTGCCCCCCACGAGCTTCTTTTAGGGTTTGGTCCAACCAACTTGTTGAGGCCTGGGGTTTGCCAGCCAATAATTTCGTTTTTGCCACGCGTGAAGTTTTTTGGGGGCCTAGTGGCTTTCCAAGCAACATCTCTCGTTTTTGAGGCCTAGGGGTTTGCAAGCCGATGTGCTGCTGTGTAGGGTTTCAGAGTTTCCACCCGGTTGCAGGTTTGCCACCCGCGAGCTTCTTTTAGGTTTTCCTAGCAACATTTTCTCAAGGGAGGCCTATAGGGCTTGGCAAGCGATGTGATGTTTTTTCAGGGTTTGGGAGTAGTTCTTATCGGGTTCTGGGGCTTTCCAAGCAACACATTTTTGAGGAAATTTGTTTGCCTTGGCATTTTTGTTTTTCCAAGAACATCTTCTTTTTGAGGTCGTGAGTTTGCAAACCAATATTTAGCTTTTTGGGTTTGGGAGTTGCCACCCCACGATATTCTTTTCGGTGGTGTTTTCCACCTGCGAGCTTCTCTTGAGGCTTTCCCATCCACATTTCCTTCTTGAGGCCTAGGGATATGTCGGTTTTTGGGGTTTGGGAGTTGCCAACCACTATCTTCTTTTATGGTTTAGAGTTGGCCACGCCCGAGCATCTTTTGGGGTTCTGTTTGAGGTTTCCCAGCCTACATGTGTAGCAGTAGTAGCAGCAGGAGGCGGCGGAAGAGGAGGAGTACATCGCAATAGTAGGTGAACTCGTTTGTTGTTGTTGTTTCCTGGGCTGTTGTTTGAGCCGTCGCGTGTTTAATTGAATCGCTCACGGCGTTTTACGAATCTTCGCCCTCATTCGCCGAACCTGTCTCGTGCGTTTTTCGAAAGTGTCGTCTTGAATTTCTTGTGTTGTCGGAATCGGTCCTCCTTGTTGTCGAAAATGTTTTGCGACTCGATCCGTAGCACTCAGTCTTATTCACCCACACTCTCACTCTCATCCCCTCTTTGTCTCTCTCTCTCTCTCTCTCTCTCCTTTTGCCTCATTGCTTTGCTTTTGGCCTTCCAGCTTTTGCTTGCAGGTCGGTCATGTGCGCAGGGTTCGCATGACCTTTGACTCTCTAGTGTTCGCGGGCTTGCTCTCGGTCTCTGTCGTTGACTTTTCCGACATGGCAGGTGCTTTCCACCAGTGTCCATTGTCGTGGCGTTGATGGTGGCATCACAACTTATCTTGTGCCAGCGATTGCCATGGCCTCGGCAGAAGTTGTAGCAGGTTGCTCGCTCGTTCCGTTTATCTTCGTTCCAGCTGTTTGATCTCAGCATCTTAGCCGGCTGGTCTCCAGTATTTTTTTACCTTGAAACACCTTGCCACATCTGGGACGACATGGAAGGATACCTCCAAGCACAGCCCTCAAGCATCTCTGACATGTACTAGCTGCCAACACAAATACTGTCGGCACAAAGAAAGCAACATGCGACGAACCGGCCACACACATGTATCAACGTGCGAAGACCGTATAATCTGTCCTGAAGCCTGGCGCTGCATAGGCTCATCTGAGGCATTCTGCGGCTATGCTCTGGTTCAAACACCACTTGTGTCTGCGCACATCGAAACCTCCGGCATTGATGTACGAGGAACTAGTATTTTGGCGGCCAAGGAGTTGTAGTCAAATTCGTCGACAAGATGCCGAATCAAGTGTTTTAGTGCCACTGCTTCCTAGTCTAGTTCGGGTAACCTGTCCGGTGGACACCGTCTCCAGGCATTGTCACACAATTCGTAGCCCTTAAGCCAGAGAGGAAGAATCATGATTGAGATCTGCATCCAGAAGGAACGTATATCCTTTACCCCGAAGGGAAGGAGGCTCAACAGAAAAAACGTGTGTGAGTGTGCGCAAAGAGCCTGCTCCAACCGCGGCAATTGACCAGTCTCACAAAGAACGAGGTTCTACCTCATGATCCGGCATAAAGTCCTGGTGGACTTCCAGAACTTAGCACCTTACAAGGAGAAACTCCGTTGTTGTTGTTTGACAGCCTAAGCTCAATCTTGAGCATGCTCCTTTCAGGACCCAATGTTCTGGTGGGTCATTATCACATGTGCCAATTGCTCGGTCGTCGAGGGTATGCCGTCGCAAAATACCCAAAGCATGGCAGCTTGCTGGGACATGAGGTGCTGGCGCTGTCCCACTTCATCTTTCATATGCTTTGTGCCGAGAAGATGCACGCTGAACACCACAATCTCCAGGCTTTGCTTGACGCTTGGCACGCCTTCGTCCGAAAGGGTATGCTTGCTCTCTGGTTCCTTTCCTGCGGGGGTCTTTGTTTGGCGTCTGCTGTTCCATTATGTTCCATTCCTCGAGCCGAGGATGGTCTCAAGAAGGCTCCACGAGCCGGAAGGGTTTGTCCGTATCGATGCCTGCATGTCACACGATGAGTTTGTCCTGCAGTGAACTGATCCAGCAAGAATCCCTAGAAGTATGCAGCACAAGCAGAGTGCATTAGAGTGCCCGGTGTCAGGATGCCGTGTTCTTCGGCTTGCCTGCGGTTTTCTATATCATCTTCCTGTACATGTCCTACGACGTTGAGTGGCTACTCTTGCCGCTCTCCAAGTTCTGGGAGGAAGACCCTGTCTGGGCACAGGAGGTGTCTTCCGACTTGGCCCCTCGGTGAACGATTAACAAAGAAGAGGAATTGTTTACAGGGACAATGCTTTGCTTTGGATCTTGTTCTCAGGCATTCATCACGGAAAATGTGGCACGGAGAACTGTTCTTCACGGTTCGTCGGAGGCAGCACTCACAGTAGAGGAGCCTTGGCGAGATTTGCAAATGCAGCTAAAAGAGCCACTGCTTCTTGTGTTGCCGCATCTGTCGGACTGCGCGCGCTGGATAGATGTCATTTTGAGTTATAATTATTACATACTGCACATTCATGACGCAGAAAACCTTTGAGTGCGAGCCCCATCGCATGTGCAGTAAGGGCAGGCCCCAAAGCCCGAAGACCGCCTACAGGCTTGGCAACATGAGCGAGGGAGCTTCCTCATCGGTCAAGTCAAGGGTCTCTCGGTTGTTAAGGTGGTGTAACGTCCGAGATCAGATTTTCCAAATTACAGCATCCTGTAGCTGACCTGGGCTTTGAATCTTCGGGCTGGCAGACCATGCCAGGCCCCCAAGCGCATACACTGCAAATTGGCGTGGACGGGCGCGGAACTTCTCGTGAGCGCATTCGCGCACATGCACGCCGGTATATTGGGCTGTGAAAAGAGCTTTGCTTCGCACAGCGCTCAGGACATTGCCGAGTCACTGTCTGTCTCTGCACAGCAGGTGCCAGAGAGCGACTCGGCTGCCCAAGTTCTTCGTATTTCACCTGGCTAAAGAGCTAAGAAGGCAGCAGCTAAGCACCACCGCGATTCGAGAAGTCCTGGTGCCCCATGACCGCCAGCCTCGGACCTTCGGAATTTCGGCTTCTGCGGTGCAGCTTCGAACATTTCCCGCAGACTTTGTCCTGCGGGCAAGTCACATGACAGCCATAGCTTCGCTCCATTGGCTGCTGGTCACGTCTTTAGTTTAGTTTGAGGTGAGATCAACGACTCCAGAGTGGGGTTGCTTCCGCGGTCAGGCAGACGCTGGCTTTAAATCAGTTCAGCATCGGCAACTCAACGTCTTTCTTTGATGTCCTTGCCGTCAGCGATGTGACTACAGCAAGGTAGAAAGCCGGCTGGTTGGATAAGTGAGCAGCGGCAGCAACGACTGCAAAAGACTGGCAAGTCCACCGGAAAGATCGGGCTCGGCCAATTCAGGCAGCCTTACGCGGGGCATGTTAGTTGGCAAGTCTCACAGTTAGTAGATTTTACTGCATCCCTGAGCTTTCCATCTACAAACTGAGACTTGAGGAATTGCAACAGATCTATGCACAGAGGTCTCTCATCCACTGCGATTTCCACGGTTGATCCTCCTCCTCATTAAGTGAACATTCCCTGGCAAGTCTTGTGTGCTTGATTAGCTAGCATCTATCAAAGCCTGGAGCCTACGAAACGGTACATGAAGTGAAGTGTGTGTTTTATTGTTTTGAACGCTACATGCTTGTTCGTCGTTGGATGTAGATCAGCATCAACAGCATGAGTCTGCCTCTCGAGAAGAGCAAGGATAGTTGAAAGAATACGACCCCGGAGGCCCCGACAGAGGCTTAGCAGAGGAGGTCTTGAGAGGTTAGCTCAGAAGCCCCATGTTTCACTTTAACAAGCAGCTTTCGGAAGCCACTCTCTGAGCTGGGTCGTGTCTAAACATGAGAAAGCGACACCATCCCCGGCAGATTTTCCAATGAATATCACAAAACAAGTCATTCTGTGCTTCGGAGATGCAGTAGTCGTTTTGATCCACGGCGTGCACTAACTATTACTCGGAAGTCAGCAGCAAAAGGTTGAAGTCATCGTGGATGTGGGTCCTGCTGATTTTTGCCGTTTCGCTGCATGAATCGATGTCTCGCCCAGCACAGCATCAGTCTCGCAAAGGGTGAAAGAACGGGATTTTTCGGTTGTCTGCTGAACAACCGGTGCCATGAAGAACCGGTGCCAGGAAAATTGAAAGGTTTGATAGGCACTGACATAAAGCTGCTGCAGTGCAGCCGCAACAACAAAAACAGCAATAGAAACAACGCAAAGAGACAGCACATATACGTGCGATGAAAGGAGCTCCGAATCATTTGTGTCCTGTGCTCGCCATGAGTCTTGAATCGATATTCGTCAGGCGTTGCTGTATCACCTTCCTTTAGAAAAAAACAGAACTTAGCACGAAAAAGAGCTTTAGGATGAGCCTGCATCGTGGGTCTTGGGGACATGATAAGCCTGCTTTTGCAATAAGTGGTGACTCTGCCGCGTGCAGGTCGGGATTGATTACACGGTCTTGGATTGCCGATCTCCTGCTGGACTACAGATTGGTGGACTCAAAGAGCCGTGAGTTTCGACTCGCGTGGATTCTTTGGGTCGGCATCACATGCCTCGCTTGCATTGCTGCCGCTTCTTGGCCGGTTCAGCTGGTAGTGCTCAGGCATGTCGTTGCGGCAAATGATCTTGTTGTTCAACATCTGCGTCACAGGTTACCTTGCTGGCACTCCAGATCGCGAAAGATGTTCAAGATATCATCCGTGGTCAGAGCGGCTTAGCGAGTTAAGACTTGATTGTGCGAATGTGGTCTTGCCACAAGATGGAGCTAGCATCGTGTAGCGCACATTGCTCCACAGACTGTACGAAGTTGTTGAATGTGCAGATGCTGACATTGTTGGCACCGTGGTCACGAGCGTGAATGTGGCTGCCTTAGAGACTAGTGACTACTGGATGGTTGGAGGGGCTCTATCTCTGCTGTGGCATCTGTGGCAGCTCTGCTACCGTCCCAGGTCCTGTGCATGGTCGCGGTCGTCCTGAGATACCTTTACGAAGTCCTGCCGTGCTGCGCTACACGTGCCGCATAAGCGGGATCAAGGGATGGCAAGATTGACCATGCTTGGGTCCTGCAATACGGTTTCACCAGTGGCCTCCCAATACGGGAGGGGTCCAGAACATCCCATGCTCATAAAACGGTCGACTGGAGACAAAAGTACAGATCGCCGTGTCAAGCTCAGTCAGGAGAACAGTTGGTCATATGCTTTGCCTGCAGGCTGACACCATCGCCAAGAGTGGAAGGAGCGTTCCTGCGCAAGAAAGAAGAGCAAGCGATCCTTTCCTTCTCTCTCTTTCAGTTCAGTGCAGATTCTCCGGCAAGGCATGATCAGGCTACCCAACTTCGAGGTTGTTTTGTCCGAAAGAGACAGCCGCATGGCCGTGGCTCTAAATTGGCAAGCACGGAGCAGCATGGAAACCACAAAGGGTTCAAATAACATCACAAGAAAAACAGTGACCACAATGGTTCGCAGAGAATATAGATAAGAAGAAAATGTAGCCACAATAGGATGCAACAGAATGAAAAAGCGCAGCAACCACGACAGGCTTCAGCCCCTGGGCGTTTCCACTCCCCGAGATCCAACGAGCCTCAGTGCGTGAGTGACATTTTGAGTTGTACTTGCCTCCACGGTAGCCACCCGTCCGTGCAAGTAGGAACATGGACAGCTTCAGTATCTTCAGTGGCACAAGACCAGACGGAAGTCAACGCAAGCACAGAGCATGGGGCATCACACTGCGACGCCGCGCCACGTGCTGCGAAAAGGAGGGGCGGTTGCGGAAGCTTTGTTCCTTCCTTGCAAGTGTCAAGTGGGTCAAGTGGGAGGCTCCGAGAACCGCGTGAACGAGGCCAAGGCCAAGGCCGGCACCAGCGGGGCTCCGCTCTTTTGGCCTCGCGGGCCCCCAAGACGCAAGGAGCCAGCGAAACCCGCCGCTTCCTTCAGAGATGCTCTCCGAGAGGGCTGGGAAGGGCCGCGGCCCGAGTCAGAATGCAGAGCTCGGTAAGTCTGCAAGTGACTGTGAGGGTGCTGTCTCGGTGTGGGCCGTCGGTCGAAAGTACACAACCTCACAATCCTGCTCCGTGTGCACTCGTGTGCTCGCACTTGTTAGACTTCTGAAGATCAGAAAGACCAACAAACAATTCCCTACAAGTCCGATCCCAACCTGACCGATCATACCTGAAACTTTCCGGCCAGTACTTGAGAGAATCTTCGTGCGAGGCTTTGACTGCCCTTGCGTTAGAACAGAAGGACAGGAAGAAAACTGCTGCATCAAACTCAATGCCTTTTTCCAAGCCTTGGCACAAGCTCTCTGTCAGGAGTGGCTAGCGACTGTAGCGCAATGGCTGCGCAGGATGAGTTTGCAGGTGAGTACCAAGCTTTGGCCGATCCAGAGAGTGCCGCGGCGCCGGGAGAAGCAAAGCACTTCAAGCAGATTCTGAAGCATGCGGCCACTGCTGCTGGAGATTCGCAGACCACGGGAAACAAGGAGGCGAACTGTTCACGAGCAATTAGTGCCCTTCGTAGCATCAACCAGTGGTTAAGACTGTGTCATGATCACTCCGCCCTTAGCAGGCTTAGCATGTCGCCGATGCAACAGATGTGTATGGCACTGCCTGTTCGTCGATCGTGTTGTGACTCGATATTGAGGCGCTTGCATGCACGTCTTCGATAAGGCATAGCAAGTGTCAGAAGTGCGAACTAATTACGAGCCTCTCAACGCGCCTGGTTTCCTAGCTGTAGTCCCTATAATGCCAACCTATATATAGTGAAAACTCTAAAGTGTGTTCTGCTAGAATCCGGGAGGATCTTCTTCGTTTGAGGCGGGTGATCGCCGCGAAGAAAGAACGTGAACGACGCCGCCAGGAACGAGGCGGCCAAGGCCACAGCTTCTGGTACTCGCTCGTGAGTTCCCATAGCCATCGTACGGAGGTGGTGGCTTTCCGCCATATCATTGCTACCGTCATTGTGATGAACGTGATATGTTTCATTGTCCAGACAGACAAGGAGACAGACAGAAAGTACAAAGCTATCTTCAGCAGTATCGAGGCAGCATCTTCATGGCTATTCTTGGGCGAGTATCTCATCCGCCTGGTAACAATTCACGAAAACAAGAGATATCACCATCTGTCCACAGGCTCAGCACGACTGGTATTCTTGAGGAGCTTTAGTTCCCTTGTTGACTTAGTTTCGTTTCTGCCTTGGTTCGTCGAGCAAGTTGTGCCGTACGAGCTGCCGAACCTTCAGTGTATACGAGTCATTCGTCTCTTTCGGCTGTTTAAGTCGAACTCCGTGATGAGCTCAGTGGATGTCATTGCTCGGGTGTTGTATTTCAACAGTGAGATCTTGTGCGTTGCCTTTATGATCGATGCGATCCTAATTCTGTTCACGAGCACGGTCCTGTATTACATGGCGCCGCCGCCGGACACCCCGGGAGTGGAAGATGATTTCGAGTCCATTCCGGCAACGATGTATCTGTCCGTGATGATGCTCACAGGGCAGGGTCAGCCGAGTGGTCAGCTTCCCTGGTACACCAAGGCAATTGTGGTTGCCACAGCTGTGCTTGCCACGGCACAGTTTGCTATCCCCGCTTCAATGCTCACCTGGGGCTTTGAGCAAGAGGCTGAGAGGCGCTTGCAGAAGAGCCATGAGCTTCAGCTGAAGCAACGAGACAAGATCTTGCAAGGTGATTCGGCTTGGAATAACACGGTCGAAATCAGCAGCTCCAGCACCAGTGAAAGTGAGGTCGGGCATGAATGGGCGGAATACGAGGCTGTTGTTGTTGGCAGTGACAGTGAGGAGGAGGGAGGTGAAATCTCGGGCAGCTCTGCACTAAGTGCATCCGAAGCTGCAAGAATAGCCAAGATCTTCTCCACCTTGGATGCCGACGAAAATGGAACGTTGGTCACCGCCGAGTTGTGTCAACTGTCTGGAGGCCGTGTAGATGGACAAAACCTAGCAGAGGTCCTAGACGCTGATGGAGATGGCAAGACAACCTCCACTGAGTTTCTGGAGTGGCTGGCAGGCATCAAGAGCAAGAATGTCCATGTGTTTAATCTCGTCCTATCAGACCTGGAAAAGTTGCGGCCACTCAAACGGGGCGCAGTCCTTCCGAGCTCTTTGGACGCGCTTGCCGGCCAGGTCACTGAATTTGCACAGCAGTTTCGTGACTTGACCACACAGGTGATGCAACTACAGGAGCAGCTTGCAGCTAAAGATCGCGAGCTGGAACAGTTGAATGAATTGGGCCAGAAGTGAAGACTCATCCAGCCTCGCCGAGCATGCGGTCAGACTGACTGTTGCCTTTGAGGTGGTGCAAGCCACCTTTTTTGCGAATCTAGAGATTGGTAGATAGGATGGATCACTGCAGCGCTTGGGTCAGCCCCACTCGATTTTAAAATAGACCTGAGTCTCGTTTCATGCCTTGCGAGCTACTTCTGACCACTTTCTGGTCTGCTCTGACATTCACCTCCGCGAGGTCAGTGTTTGTCGTCCGAATGGCCGGCAAGCTCCTTTGGGCCTTGCACGTCTCGGCTAGGCACAGCTCGACATAGTGTCACTTGCATGCTATTCAGAGCCCAGCATCTTGTAAACTTTGCTGGAAGGTGCTTCTACTTGTTGGCACGGCTTCTGCTCTACATCTTCTTATTGTTACCAGTGTTCGTCAGGGCGACAGCTTACTGTTGCTTGCCTGCATCGTGACTTGCAGCACAGGCGAGAAGTACTCATGCTTGAGGATGCGACATTCCATTCAAGCAAGATTGCACGTATGCACTGGGAAGCAGTCTGGCTTGTTCACATACAAGGTTGGCTACACCCCAGCGTCGCCAATTTCGTTCGCTACGGACCAAAGCGACGTCACTTGATGGACTCTCGGATGGTTAAAACTGCCGTGGGTCTGTGCGAGCTGATGATGTTCTGGATTCCTTTCTGCATTGCACGCCAACACCCTAGGACATCTACATGCTCAGGCCACCGGTAGAGCATGCAAGCAGCATCAAGCATTGTGTGCACAGTGCTAGCTGGGCAGGCCTGAATTTCGGGATGCTGGGCCACGACCGGTGGTTCTTCCCTTACTGCGACAAGGGCGCCCTGAGCGTGTGATGGCGAGCTGAGAACCACTCTAGGTCGTGTTTTTCACCGGCGGAGTGTGGATTATTGGCTACAAGATGCGACCGGCCCGAAAGCTGTCAGCTCGTACTGTGCCTGACTCGACAAGATCCTTTAGGTGGGGAATGCTCATGGGCATGGTCCTTCAGCGTCTTGGTATTCTCCTGATAGCTCCTTGGTTCATCTTGGGCCGCGTCAATCATCAGTCAGGCTCTGATCGCGGCTAGACAACAGGTTCCCGACTACAGGAACTTTCCGCAAGCCACTGGAGAAGAAATGGTGGAGGAGCCCCTTCATAGTCAAGCTGGCGGCATGTTGAAACCTTATTGGGGCATCGCGCCAGGACAGCATTCTGGCGGTGCAGTGGTCGCTCGACCACTGCGAGGACTACGGCGGCGATCCATCAAGGCGGGGCTGTGCCACAGGCTCTCGGAGCGATGTCAATGTTTGAAAGGATTTTCCTCGTGGGCCAGTCCGCCGGTGCTCACTTGCTCGCAATGGCGCTGATCCGGAGAGCGACGGGTAGTGAGGTGAGCACCTGGCTCTCTTTCACCAAGAAGTCCGCAGCACAGCATCCAATCTGCTCTGAAGGCCAAGGCCAAGGCGCTGCCTGGAATCCTCTGGAAGCCCAAGGCAGGGCTTATGTCTCAGTCTTTACAGAAGCTGCACATGGCACTTTTCGAGGAGTAGCCATTTCTCTTCAACATCTCAAGAGTGCAAGTCATCGGGGGTCAGCAAGCTTGCTACACTATAGCAATGACATGCAACGACTGCATCCCGTTAGAACATTCGCCGGTAAGGTTCGGAGGATGTTTTGACTGACGTGCTGGTTCCAGGACATTTCGGCCTTCGTGGGAATCTCCGGTCCCTTCGACCTCGTAGACTTGAGCGATCACTTCCACAGTCGCGGATTGGATCGACGCCTC